GGGTCGAAAACCCGTTACTAGCCTGGTTTGATTCCTTCCTCAGCAATCGACATCAAATACTTAAAATCAACTCTTCATTGTCGAACGCAGTCCCTGTTAGAAGTGGGGTAATTGAAAGTAGTGCCTTAGGTAATTTGCTCTTTTTAGTTTTCATTAATGATTTTTGTGTGTTTTAGTGTGGGTAAGTCCCTTTTGTTTGCAGACGATCTTAAGGTGGTGTACTCATTTTCTCTACATGAGCTGAGCAATATTCAAAATTGTATCAGCACGGAGCTTAACAAGGTAGCGCAGTGGTGCTCGAAATGGCAACTGGAGCTTAATACAGCTAAATGTGGTTGGTTATGCTTCGGTGATGCATCACTCAACCTCAATCTTACCATAAATGGGGAAATGTTATCTAGGTTACACACAGTAGTAGATCTAGGACTTAGGTACTCCGACGACTTGTCGTTTACTGAACAGATAATGAAACAAACGTCCAAGTCTCAACGCCTTATAGGTTACATAACTCGAAACCTTCATAACAACGAATCTCGTATATTAATGTACAAAGCCTGTGTTCGACCACTCCTCGAATACTGCGCGTTTCTCCTTATTAGCACGCGCATAAAGGATAAATTAAGACTGAAATCAGTACAGAGACGATTTACATTTCGTACTCTTGGACCTGATAGTGTCTTGACATATAATTCGAGGTATATTAAACTAGGGCTTGACCCTTTATGGAAGAGGAGACTCAAACTTAACCTTATCTTCTTTTTCAAAATACTTAACAAACTCTCCTTCACATCCAGTCAGGCGATTCAATATGCTGAAGCTCCACATTACGACATTCGTAACTCCTTGTCTTTAGCGAAACAAACATATTCTAGATCTTCTATCTATATGAATTACTTTACCTGTAAGTTTTCTAGACTCTGGAATAATTTACCCCAAACTATCCGTATGTTAAACTCTCTCCCATTGTTTGTCCGCTCAATTAATGCTTTTTGCTCCTCTGAAAATGCATTAAATGCTCTAGCGCCTGCAAGTGTATCTTACTCCACAAGTGAGATTATAGGAACTTTAAATGTTTAACCACTTACTTGTTATCATTGTTTTGTTGTTCCGTGCTCTTTGCTTTAATCTTACTTTCTCTAGTTGTAGATAATTAATAATAACTCGCTCTGGCACTGGAAATACCCTTACAGAACAATGTTGATCAATCATCAGGCTATCCACTTAATAAAAAAATGACAAGTTCCCTGGTGTTGCATTGGCTTGTCGTGACATATGCCATATTCAAACTATTTATCAATTAGTAATCCAGCAAACATAAAACTTTCTTATATTTCATGTTTGTTCTCTACATTAAATGTTGATTTTTATAACAATCTGATCATGCCTGTAAACTGGTGTGAATTCTGTAAATATTATTTTCAGAATATATAATTATTATTATTATCAGCAAACAACCAGGAACCAACCAGTGTGATGATTCTCGCAGTGCCTGGGCTAGTAGATGGTAGTCGAGATAGTGCCCACTAACACGGTATGCAACATTGACGTTGGCTATCAAGTAGCATATACTTTCACATCGTCACGATAATTAGCGTCCCCAAGATACCACGTCTGTTACACGTCACAACCATTAAGTTCCTGTGTTTGACGGCTGTGAACCTCAGAGACCGCGAGGACTCAACAAAGGCTATTCAAGCTCAGTACAGCTTGAAATGCCACCCTACATTTACACCAGGTATTATGAAAGCCGACCTATATTGGTAAGATAACAACAGAAAAGCTCAACAAAACACATTTTGGTGTCGGTCGACCGTGATCAACGACTCACGGCACAAACCGCAAACTGATAAGCTTTTTGTTAAGGATGCCAATAATCACACACCAATAGTAAGTGGTGGCCATAGTGCTCTCACGTTTAATGAGGTCATAAAAGATGAACTTGGGGTAACAGGGGAGTTTCCAATCTTTGATATAATGTAGTAGATTCTAAGACGATGAGGAAGCGTATTCAACGCGCTACATAACCACGGCAGTGATGGAGGCCAACTGTGTATTACTACTGTCAGGTGGTTGGGACATCATTCAGAATGGTACTCAATACAGAGTACTTCAGAGTTGGCGCACATCCAGAAAGCGAAGACCCTGATTTAAGCGATGTACAGAACTCTTGCTCCATGCCGAATGGCGAGCCCGATACAAATAGAAAGTCTCCTTATCGTAGAGTCTACTTGATAATGAGCAACAGATGCAGTGCCAAAGTCCGAGGCGACGGAAGATAATTCCAGACCAAGCCAGCAGCCTAAATGCACGCTGACCTCAAATTTCGGGATTTTGATCTCACCGTCCTTCAACCGACCTGTATGTCATTGTAGGACCTAAAGAAATACGTGTTCTAGCCAATATGGCTTGGCTGAGTAGTCACTATAGGCTAACTCCACCGTCACGTGAAGATGAAAGCTACGGTCAGGTATCTGACGGACGAGACCATAATTTAAGGACGAACCAATCAGACATAATACAACTGGTCCTTAATATTGGCGTGAAATTGATTAATCCGTTTGGTTAAATACCGTTTTGGCATTTTAGCATATGTCATTTCGTAGTGGAAACCCTGATTCCAACTCCTAACCCTAACCATCTGCTGCAAATCATAATTATAAGTCCTCTCATTATTTTATAGCTCTCATTTGGTCTTAGTTAGTAGGTCAACATTTTCAAGATCACTTCAGAGTCGATCAAAGGTCGTACATAAATTACAGTCTCACCATTCGACCTATAATCCTGAAATAGTGCGGGGAAGCTATTGGCAAACCAATGTGACATATTCAGGCGCTCACTGCATTCACACCGACTACCAAGATAATGTGAGCACTTCACTCTACTGCAGAAAAGACCTAACCCTTTACAGACCAGTCGCATTACTTTCAGTATTTTCGGAGTTAATGGAAGGACTAGTCAATAAACAAATGAGGGAATGCATAGATAAAAACTTTATCCTCTATGAAGCTCAACATGGTTTTAATAAAGGCAGGTCATGTACGTTCAATCTACTCATAGCATTTGGAAGCTAGACGACCTGCTAGGAGCAGAAGGTAAAGGCTCACAAAGTATTCCTGGATTTCGCAAAGACGTTTGACAAAATACCTCGTGTACTTCACATGAAAAAGGTTTCAAAGACCGGTTATACGGACACGCTTATACCTTGGCAGAGAAAACGCCTAGGGAGTAGGAAGTTTCATACAAAGGTAAACGGAGTACAAACGAGTTTGGCGCTCTCATCATCAGGTGCTATACAAACAATAATCTTAGGTCCACTGTTGTTCTTGATCATTATTGACAACGTGTTAGATGAAATGAGCTAGCTAGCACTTATCTTTCCAGATGACGTAAAGATCTAAAGGTCTATGAAAAGCGAAATGGGTTCATTTGAGCTTTGAAAGGACCTCGCAACAATGAAGGAATAGGTAGCAGACAATGAGTCAAAACTTAACCTGCCGAAATGTTATGTCACAAACATTATGCTCCATTCGATACAAAGTGTTTATAACCTCCATGGAAATCCGCTTTCTGTCGTCCCCATAAAGCGTGAATTTGTAGAATTATGGTCTACTTCGTTAATAGTACTGTTCTAATAATAAACCTAATCCTAAAATTGTAGATTTGTAATGATGTGACTACCTATTCCATGTGATCTTGTGTAGAAGTCACATTGTCGTCTACACTAGCTCGTCCTATAGTAAGAGTCACCAATACATGATGGAGAACACATTTAGGCTGGAAAGGGAAAAATATATTTAGTATAAATAGAAGAGTCAGGTTACACAAGAATGACCACGTCAGCACGTCTGAGCCATGCCACCCAACTCGATTCAATTCAAGTTTCCGATCTTTAAGGTTAACCATTTCTTCTTGTCAATTGTTGAATATAAGTCTTTTCAGTAATTATATTTCGGCTCCAAATGTCATGATGTTCGGGTGCAATGACACTAGGAGTTCGAGCTCGTAACCATGGAGAACTTAGGTACCAGTTGAAACTAAAAAGGGGATGAGGACAAGTCAAACGCAACTCCCTACTTTGTGCTAAAGAAGATTGGCACAATCACCTCTGATTTGTTCTCAAAACAGTCACAAATCTCTCAGACCAAGTACAGAGGCGGGGAGCCAAGTAGTTGATAGGTGTGAATCACAAATCTTACGAGGACAGACTCCCAAACCTGTGATTATTTTAGTCGGATCACAGAAATATAGGAGAGGATCTGATAATTGCATACAATATATTGCGTACGTCAAGCCCTCCACCCACCAGCACTAGCATATTAACAGAGCTTTATAGTCAAGCCCCTCAAAGCAAAACTCACAAGACTGAAAATCAAAGTGATGACACCCAGGTATGCTCTGACTGTATCCCATAACAGTTTCCTTCGTTTGGAATGCCTTCCTAGTTGAAGTGACCACAACCCCATCAGTGAATAGCTTTAACAGGAGACCTGACAAACACGAGTTCGCCCATAGATGACCACATCCCTCTTGAACCAGATGTGTCTGGTGCATGCCTTATAAATTATCACGATTAAAGCCACCGCGTGTCAGCAACTACTTATTATCTCTCTTACTGTCATCTCAGTTCGCCTTCTTGTTCTTCCAATTCTGTCTACTTATACATCTCGCTAGGGCTCAATGACATTTCACTGCCCCTACAAAATAATTGACTTATATATTCTTGGAACGATCTTAATCTCTTAGCATTCTAATTATCGCCTTATTACTTTTACATTGCAACCAAGCGATCCCTTTCGTGGTAATGAGGTAGCTGCTTTTATCCAGAAACCCTACCCCCCTGAGATAAAAGCACTCTTTCTACAAGATATACAAATCCACAGATAACTATCACACGGATTAGACTTATCGCAGTCGCGTGACTAGACTGCCACCCAATGCAAACAACCAAATACATGGCACCGTACCGAAACAGCAAGAACTGAGCGCAAAGAAATTAATCAGTTAATGTAAGCTCGTGACCAAAATACTGGATCGTGGAAACGCTTACAAATCGACTTATTTTGGGCAAATACTTATTGCTTAGGGCTGGTATAACATCACCAATGTTTTCATCATTTTCATTCCATAAATATGCAAAGGAAAAAGAAATAAACTAGTTTCAGCAACCTCATCATAAATATGTTGGGTTGTATTGAATAGCCTTGGAGCACATCCCGGTCGACCTTGACTAACTGGGCAGTCATATGGAATACCATGAATAATAGTTCTTTGGAGCTTGTGAACACGACACATATCTTACAGAATCTAACAAGCAGTGAAAAATATTTATTCGCTACTTCTGCATATGCTCAAATAATTGCTTGTTTATGTGCACTGTTGTCATCCGTGATTACATTTCATCAAGTAATTCATTTAATCCATTTTAAACAGCTATAGATGTACTTTCACCTCAAAAATTACACATGTGTTTCTGAACAACGATATATCATACGGGTGTTGATTTTAGTGCCGGCTTATGCCATCTATTCATTTCTAAGCGTTTTGCTTGCTATACATGCGATGGTGGACAGTATATATATCGACTTTATACACGACATTGCAGAAGGTAGTTAATTCATTTACTTACCAACTTTCCAGCATTTGCTATTTACAGTTTTTTAGCTTTGTGTTATCAGTATCTTGGAGGGGAAGGTAATATCATGTTAGAGCTTACTGGAAAAACGATCAAGTAATTCTCAGGATCATTAATCTGAGTGTTTTAGTTTCAGTTTACTGTATAGTACATGCTGTTTCGCTGGAAAACCATACACCATATTGTTTCTACGGTTTTGCAAAATAGTAAGTTATTGATGACATGCCATTCTTCTGGTTAGTTCTAAAATAATGTGATGATTGTGTATAATTAGGGTCAGACTATCAAAAAAAGTCGTCTTAGCCTTTTTGGAGGGTTTAAATTCATGATTAATCTGCAGTGTTATGTATATAAGACCTGAAGAAACAATCTCTGCAGTCATAGGTGTCATTCATTGGGAACTATGTCATTAGTCAAGTTTTACCATTGAAATGATGTCATGCTAGGCCAAAGGTATCAAGCCGCCTCAATAGTTGTTGAATCGGTATAATTCTCGGTCAAAATTTCTTAGAATGCTATTTACTAAGTCTGTTCCTATCTATTTCTTTTTATGTCCCTTAATGTATATGCTTGTTACGTTTACTTTGTTTTTGTTTCCTTGTGTAATTCAAGTATTTATCTATACTTTCACATAGTTCGAAATAAGTCTCATTCTTTTGTGTAGACATAGGTTTTTAATGTAGTTATACATGAAAGCCGTTTGGCTACCATAAGCTGTTATCTTCATTTTTATAGCCACAAGTTTTGACCAGGATAGCCACGACAGAGAATTGCCATGTATTATACTCAGAAATTTCGTGCGTTTAGTTCGTCGCTCACAGATAATGTCCGTGCCATACAATTCTAAATAGCCGAAATAATTACTCCCTACCTCATATAGTACATTGCTTGCCTTCGTTTCAGTCCATGAATTTACGCACTGTTTCTGCATCAAAGGTTATGGCTTATGTATGACAAAGGTATGTATATATATCCATAAGTATGTAAAGACAAAAATCTGGTTTGTGGTCTTACGTATTTTCTTTTACATTTTCTCCTTTACTAATTTCTATTTATGCTCTTATTTTTTGTGCAAGTATGCTCCATACTCTCAATAAAACAAGCTAATATGTTATCAGTTTTACTTTTTTTAGCTGTAGTTGTATATTTCTCATATTGAACACATACAACCACTATCAATCTTGCTAGAATTTCTAAACATATTATTACTGGTAATCCATCGTCTTCTCACAACTCGTATATTCCTTTTCTATGTTAGTTGGTTAGTCTTACGCAACCTGATGCATGTGCAAATCGATTCACGTCTCCACACCACATCGGCATAGCTGTGTGGCAGATTAGTATAAGTAGTAACAGCATTAGGGGTAGTAGAAAAGTTTAGGCATAAAGGCCTGCTTCGGTTTGGGCAACCGGGCAGTATCCCAGCCTCCACGCAAATCGAATGGTTTATATGGCGCATGTCTATTTGGTGCCTCCTTGTACCAATGTTTATTTGCTTAAATAATTATAAATAAAATTAAACATAAAGTACATTGGGGAAGAAAATGTGGAAATCCAAAAATTTTATAAGGTAATTTAGAGGCTTGGGATCTAAGAAAAGACGGTGATTGCAACCGCGTCATCAGGTTCTGATCCATATCGCTTGAAGTCTCCAAACACTGGTTACGATAATCTTATAAACCCCAATCAGGTGGTCTGCATTTACCCACATGGCTCAGTCCACTTGTCACTGATTACGTAGACTGATGCTGTTTCACTTTGAACATCCTTAGCTTTCTTTCAACCTTTTTCTACACCAGTTATCGTTGCCCATCAATGTTGGTGGTTGTTGAGCATATGTCATACATATCCCTACCACTTTAGTTGACAAGGGTTCATGACGTCATCAACCGGTTTGCCATCTGTCAAAAACACCCCGCTTCTAACTTCAGGATTGGTGGTTCAGTAGTTCTGACACATACAATCAATACTTCGAATACTAATGACACATCTCACGATGCCCCACTGCCTTGTGGATCAGACCTTTAAGTCAAAGGCTCCGGGTGTGGCTCCCTAATAAAACCACCTGCTTCAGTTTGGGCACCTGGGTAGTATCACAGCCCTCAATCCCCTCAACCACTTCATTTTTCATCATTACTTTGAGCGTTGATGCAGACCAATCCTGAAGTAATATCTTGTGTTCGGAGGGGGATAAACATTTCAACTATGGTTGGATTGTTGCTCAAGGTGATCCGAAGATCAAGTCTTGTCATTGCTTTCACTAAACAGGATTATATCATCTGTGTTTTGTGGGTTGAAAAGTGAGTATTGTGGTAGGTAATCAACCCATGAGAGTTTAGACAAAGTGTTGTTTTCAGGAGGACATCTATGTCAGAATGAAGTAAAGGAGGGGACAGTTGTCAACCCTAACGAAAACTAATTGGCGTTAAAATATTGAAAAACAGTCACAAACTCTAAATCGACCAGTGGTATTCGAGTAGAGAGCCTGTACAAAGTTGATGTACGTGTTTAGTAAACCTTTCAATGACGAACAATGCCACAAGAACTTTCGGTCTACAGAAGTGCACTTTGCCTTAAGGTTAAGAAATACAACTATAGTCGGAAGTCGATAGGTTTGTTTATGTAGATATCTCATATATACGTTGATTTTATCTCTGTGTTTTTGATCACCGTACAACGAAATGCAAGAATATTTTTGTTACTTTTATATCTATGCCAGTATGATGTCAGTTTAACCCTCTTTTTACGACACTATTGAGTCGCTCAAAACTCCAGTGCAAACGCAATATTTACCGACATATTAAGAATTAGGTATATTCCTTGTTACATTAAATTCCTTCTGGTATGTTTATGGTTTAAAGGCGTGAAAGGGTCTGGGTTGTTGGAAGATTTTAAAAATTATTTATAGGGAAACTTCGGTGGAATGTCATTCAGTAATTGTTTGTCCTCTATATTACACTTATGCACTTAAATTTTTCACTATCTCATATGGTTCGTAGTAATAATATTATTATTGTTACAATCATATTAGTAAAATAGTTGTAATTATTACCGTGTATAAATAATTGGTATTCTGAATAGGCGACTTACGCTAGATCATGGAACGTCAAAAAGTATTCTTTACAATCATTGGAACATCATGGTTTCATTCTAAATAAATTCCCCAAGTTGTAATAAGCTGGAAAAATATCTTCATACCTTGGTCGTAAGGTCCTACTTCATGTATTATCATGGGAAGGTAAATTACGGGATTAATTAAGTCTATGATACAACCAAACAGTTTGTATATTCTATAAACTTGAGTTTGTTTTGTTCATGACTCTTCACATTTCTTGTGGGGTTGTGCTATTTCTTCACATATATACTTGTATTTAATTCGTATTTGTTTTTTTTCTGAAACTTTTATTTGAAGGCTACTCTTCAGTATACTTTGATCAAACCAATTACTTCATTCACGTCTATGATACTAATGGCTACAAAGAAGTATATCGTTGGTGATTTTGGGTAAGTAAAGAAACTTCAGCTAAATAATATTCTATCACCTAATAGTAACTGATGTAGTATCATAGTACATAGTACAAAGCACTGGTAAAGCCTGTCTATCAACGAGTGTTTAGTGGAGTCGTCTTATTCTTCGATAAAGCATGAACTTTCTGAAGCTGGTGGATATGGTAGTTATTTCAATTTAGTTTGTAAAAACAGGCTCAGTTCACAGATATCTTTTTTAAACATTTGAGCCTTCCCGCTACTACTCACTGTTGTAGAATTCACCAAGAATAACTTAATCGATGTAGTTTTGCAGTTTTTGTCTTAGTAATTTTCTAGTAATAATAGTTATGAGAACGGATCATTACATAGTACAGTGTGATTACTTTACCACAATCGCAGAATTTTGTGTCAAATCTTAATATATTACAAATGCCGCATTGCTAGACATGTCCTTAACTTAAGTGTCCCGTCTTCAGTTATATGATGATTAATTTTGCTTCTTCAGAATAAACACCTCATTGTATTATCTCCGTGTTACAGGCAGAATATTTTGTACTGTTATTTCATTTGTATATATTCTGTCAAGTTCTACCATAAAACTTTCTTTATCAGCTATTTTGTAGATGTTGCAATTAAAAAACTAATTATTTATAAAAAACATTTTCTATGCCATCACGATCCACAATTACTAGTTTTAATGTTCAAATCCAGTCTTTATATTTCATCTTCTGAAGTTGTTCCAGCCTTCAAGTAGTATAAATTAATTTCCGTAACAATTAAATCTTGGCAATTATTTAGTTACTTATTTATTCCCACTAAGTAATAAAGGTTAATAGTGTGATTTTCCCTCAAGGACTTTGTATTCCTTTAAACAATTAGTTCGAAAACACAGATTATGATGTACGTGTACATATTTCTACTTTATTATTTTTCAGTCCTACATCAGGCTATCTGTATTTATTCCTGATCAATAATGCCACTGTGACTCTTGCTGTTTATGGTTTATTGTTGTTCTATTTTGCAACTCGGGAGCAATTGAAACCATTCTCACCATTACTCAAATTTGCTACTATTAAATCGATCATCTTCTTTAGTTTTTGGCAAGGTATGCTGAATTACTCTTGTATTTAGTAATAATATTGTTAATTGTATAATAATTTTAATTCATATCTAATGGAAAATCATTAATCACTTATTAAAAACGTAAAGAAATAAGAAAATATACGAAACATCTGTAACTAAACCAAGTATTTAGCAGACAATATCACATATACATATTTCGTAAATGTATATTTTTTATTATTGTAGGTAACAAATATGACGGTATCTCAGGCTATTCCTTTTTTTCTTTTTTTTCCAGTCTTCACTAAATTGTCATGGTTGTCACTACTTATTTAATTCAGTAAATTAATGCTTTTTTGTATCCTAGAACCTAGATCACACTTTCCTATAAACACTACATAATTTTACTAGCTGAAGTATATGAAATATATCTGTGATTTAGTTATTGAAAGTCAAATGCCTTAAAGATTGATATAGCCCCCCCAACTAATTAATGTTCGTTAACTGTTCTGATTTATAATAACAAACAGAATGAGGTTTGGGACTTAACTTTGTCAAGCTGTATAGCAAGTTCATCTTTTTAGTTCTAATTTAAATTATGCTTTCAAGTTATTATTTTTACTGCACGAATGAAGAGTTGGTTTTTTAAGATTATTCTAAATAGTTTTTTTTGTTTTTGTTTTCTGTACTTAATAGATGTATTATTCAGTATTCTCGAGTGGAGTCATGTTATAAACATGACAAGTGGATATTCAGCAACACTAATTGCTGGTATCTACAAAAATTTATTAATATGCATTGAACTGGTTATTGTTTCAATTGCACTACGTTATGCATTTCCCTATAGTATTTATGTGTTACAGTAAGTTTGAGGTTTATATATACTGAATATTAAAACTATGCATGCATATTTTGTAAGTATCTGGAAGTGACTTTTAATACTCATATTTATCTGCTGTTAAAATTTGTACATAGTAATTCGCCTTGCGAAACAGTTCTCAGATAAAAAGGAAATTTAAACGGGGTAAAGAACCTTTGACTACTCCTTACAACCAATCCTGAAGTATTTTTGGTGGCGTTTGTTTGTCCACTGATTTGAATTATCCGGTCGTCAAACTGTGACTTCTTACAGTTAGATCTGGTAATAAACTTTTGTCAAGTAAGAATAACAAACATTATGGGATGAAGTGAATTTATTTCAATTCATGTGCTCTACGTTCGTATAAATAAATAGAACTTTTTACAAACGTGATTTTGTGTGATAACACTTGTAAAGTCATTTGGCGCACCAGCGAAAAATAATTATAAATACTTTCCATATTCATGCAAGTTCAATTTATAAGTGCGCAGATTACGCGAAGGAAAGACCATGACGTAATCGGATGCCTAAAACATTTTTGAATTATTATAATACAAAAAATGACGAGACTGATAGTAATTATCAATAAACAAATAACAAATTGATCATAATAGTGATAATAATAATTTACATGTTGCACATGAAATTACGTTTTCAAAGTTGAATTCACAACTCAATCTAAGCTAGACAACGATTAAAAACCTGGAAGTACTGGACGGCCGTTTATTTCCAGTATGGGACTCCTCGGAAGTGCGCGTCTGCGGTCCTGCATGCGGGACTTGAACCCAGGACCTTAGGTCTCGTGCATAAACGCTTAACCTCTGTACCACTGAGCTGGCATCCACGGGTGTTAATGTCTAACTTCAATCAATCCATGAATGAATGGTATATATATATATATATAGTTTAATGTTTATCCTCAGAATAATGGATTTTGAATTCTCGACAAACACGAAAGTCATAGGGTTATATTTTATTCCTCTATTAAGACTTATCAGTCGGTGAATTATAGACTCGTTTATTTTACAAAACTCATTATTTACCTTACAATGGCTATAATACACACCTTTTTAGAGGGTAAACCAGTTTACATCAGTTTATACAAAGTTACAAATGATATCTATTAGGATCGTCTTAGAAGGTAAATTGTTTGTCAAGGTATGATCTCTTTAAATCTGACAGTACAGAATGGTTTTTCGAAAGATACTAAACTGGTCAACAACAACGACTATATTAGTTTTTTAATGACCACCCGTTTTTTTTACATTTTATTTACTAAAAAATTCTAATAAAATTCCCTTACGTTATTCCCAAAAACTGGCTAATCTATGTAACTATTTAGCTCAAACAATTAGCATTCAATCAAAGAATACGTCTACGCATCAGAATATTACTGTATCCCTAGATCCGACAACAACATATTAAATTGAATTAACTTATTTTTCTTATTTAGTGTAACAAATTGATATCATTTCTGTATGTATCCTCTCTATATATAGCAATCCACCTCGCCTTGTTTTTGACTTACCTTCAAACGATTCTTTCTGGTCTAATGATGAATTTCTATTTTCTACAAAACCGTCTGTGGGTTTTAAATCATCAAAAGACTCAACGGTATTTAATTCAGTCAAAGACAATTCATCACATTTCACACCGGCAACATTTGTCGGTTATGCACCATCAACAAAATATGCTGAACCATTACCATGGGATATTGTTGTTCCACAATTGAACAATGGTGGGTTTGAAGAAACATGGAATACTAAAAATTCAAGTGTGATTCCAAGTATATCTGCAAGTATCAAGGCAACTATTGATCCTACAGATATACTTGTTGATGCAGTTCACAATTTTCATCCTACTTATCGTCATTATACTCAGGTAATTCTATTTGTATGACAAGTATTTCTGCAATATTACATACTATTCTGTCCAATTTCAATGTTTTCCATATTCTTGTTGGATTTTGTGCTCTATGAAGTGTAAATACTAAAGCTAAGTATCTTGCTACGTCAAATCCAACACATCTTTAGTTTATCATCATACTTGGCTTTTAAATCATAAATACTTAACACATTTTTTATGCTTTGAGAAGTCCCCCAAAGAGTGTATACTAAATTAATATGATTTTGTTTGGCGGTTGGACAAATCCTTTTAACTACCGATAAAGAGCCATGTGTTCTTTATTTATATTGGCACAACAAGCTATAAAAAGACTTCCTTAAACAAAATGCAATGATCACGTTGTGAAGTCATAGAAAAGAATAGGATAGTACTTAATTAATAAACAAAAATAGTACATAATAAAAGATACGGTTCAGTTAAAAATATTACCAGTTTTCTGCAGATAATGAGGTTTATCTTGTTCATATAAATATTGTGATAGAAAACTAAGGCTTGATTGTCACGGTTCTTTTTCTGAGCCGTGTTTGGTAACGTCTCATATCGGTGAGTTGTATGATCTCTAGCTACCTAATTAGGGAGTTGTGGTAGACCAGTAGATGCAATTCTTATACAGCTACCTTTCACACCATGATTCCTTATCATAAAATACCCCCCTCTACAATTTATCGTTTAGTCCCACAGTCTCTGAATAGTGTGTGATGTGGAAATCGTTGAAAGAACGTCCGTTCAAGCCACCGAAGCCCATGTTCTTAGATAATGACAACAATTAAATTATCGTCAATGCGTTCGAACACATATTACCAGACCCTGAATCATTTACGCGGTTTTGCCACAGGTTACAAGCAATTTTTCAGTGACAATGATGATTAAACACAGATTCCCCAAACATAATCGTCTGGGAAGGCCCAAGTCACAAAAGCACAGTCAGTTAGTTATCATCAAGTTGGGATCTGGTACAGGTGTACGTTGCCCCAATTCTCCATACCGTATTACCATTGTGAGATGAAAAGAACAAGATAAATAGCAAAACCGTAAAAATAATGTAATAGCGATGACAACAAAAAAGATTAGGTATGGAGGGTATGGTTGTATACCCTCTCTTTGACCAATAGGTTTTTGTACAAAGCCTTCAAAATGTTAATGAGTGTCAGGTGCAAACTCTTCTTTAACGAGTTTAAGTACAAGCCTGTTCGTCGAATCAGTGTCGGCCCTGATATCAAGGAATACAAAGATTTTTGGTCACCAATAGGTGTTTCCGTGTTCAAGTATTTGGTGAAGGTTGAAGATGTGATCAACGCATCCGTGACTTAAGTGTAAATCGGCCGATTCAAAAATCAGTCTTTTGCGAGTTTTGCACACTCTACGAAGTATGGCAAAAGCCTATAGTTTAAAAGTATTTAAAAGCCTTGAACTTAGCTCGACTCGGTATTTAGTCACAATGGTAGGTGAAGCTAACTTATATCAATCCTTTTGGGAAGATGTATGTTTTAGCTACTTATTATCCGACCTGAGACTAAAGAGTCCATCCGGCACCAAAATGTCTGTCGGATGTGCTCTGTTGAAAAGATCATCAGACTGATAGTAGAATTCGTCCTTTAATACATCTGGGCTGTGATTCTTCGACGCGTAGGTGGAGGTTTCAGAAACATTGTTTCTAGACCCGTTTCTCTTGACTTTTATAGAGCCTTCCAACAGTGACTATTAACAGTAAGCTAGTCTATTATTACTGATTCCAATTTAGCACTTAGTGCTACACTGACACTAGTAAGATTGGACGCCAATGAGTGTTCTTGGATATAAATACACATTGAACATACTTTTTAAATGGGTAGATGAGGAATGAATTTGTGATGCTATACTGATATCCTGAACATAGGTTTCAGTGATACAGCAAACGTTGAAAATAAGACTTCCCAAATCTTCTAAACCTATCTGCCACCCGATATGCTTCAGGATGTAAATGTTAGGGAGATTCAAGTTTATGTGTTACACGTTTCTAAAACACCGCATCAACTTCTCACTTCAGAAATTGACCATCCAGGGACATGTAGCTAGGATGAAATTTTCAACAGGTACAAAATGGTGGATAAGTTAAAATCAGTGTAAACTAAAGAAAATGCAACACGGAAGTAATATGAAGTTGTGAGTTAAAAGATATATATTGGAATTACTTGCAATAGTACCGTTTGTGTGAATAGCGCGACAAAGCGAACAGTTCATAGCTTTCTTCATTAGTGATTATCATTATGTCTCTGCGATCTGTGATGCCGCACATAACTCAAACCAGCGCTGTTTCGGAGTCAGGGTTCTCTTACTATAGATGGACCCTCCGTACTCATCAGCCCAGTTTAAGTACCAGAGATACACTGTCCTCTTACTTTGTTAAAACATCCAGTTGAAGGCAGCGTAGAGGTTTTTATTGAAAGGGCCTGTGAATACGGGAGCATCTCAATGAGAGCGAACTCTTTTCCACCCTTTTGCCGTGCTAGGGGGATTCTAGAGTGGTTCTCACATAAGATAAAACCACCCAGTAAACTCAACCAAGGAAGAACATGGTTCATTATTTGGATGGAAGATTATATTTAGACTGTCATTGAAAACACTAGGAATATGTAGGTTTTACTGAACAAAGAGTAAATGTACAGAGATAACACAGTGTATCGCGTACCAGCTCCAAATATGGCGAGTTCTGTACTGTTTTTTCTAGTCAGGTTAGTATAGTAAGATCACAGTGGTAAACGAATATTGTCCAACGTTTATTTATTTGTTTCCTGCTTATTTTATAAGATTACTTGTTATCATATCGCTGTTCTACACAGTCGTATGAAGTGTTACTACAGTGTTCAATAAGACTAGACTGGTATACAAACAAGAAGGTCTTCTGTGACTTGGTAAGAAATGATTGAAAATGTGAAGTATATTCAGTTAGGAACAAGCGTAGACATACAAAACTGCATTGTTCATATGATTGGTTAATATACCAATCGCAAGTCTGTCACAGAAGTCATCTTTCTTTGGTTATAAGTTAAGTAATTGAATCAATCATTACCAAAAAGTCTGTAACACTTAAATATTGCGACAAAAAATGATGCATATCTCCATTCTCTTCTACCTTTTGTTGTGTTGGAGTAATATGTCACAAGTGATACCCATTTAAGATAAGATCTATATTTTACTGTAATACCTATTTTAACTTGACATTTTCAAGTGTCACACTAATTCATTTTGACGATTATGGTAGTTCCAAAATTTTTGATTCTCTATGCAATTATAAAATAATAAAAAAACTCCTCAGCTAATTCGTAAGTTTCAATAGTTTTCTGAATTTCACATATTATGAATATTTGTCAAGGGTTTACAGCAGTGGAATATCTCATTTTTTTCCCTTAATACTACTGTTTTTACAATAGACTCAAATGGATGAAGAAAGTTAATGAATCATAAAATTCCAAATGTGTCCAAATGTATCTACGTAATTTCTTCCTGAAATAAATATTCGACCAAAATAATACACTATGTACATTTCATCATATATATTATTCGGGTTAGAATGTTCGATTCTTTTTGTATTTCTGTGAAGAAAACAACATAGCTAATCTTTTATATTCACATAATACCTGTCTTTCGCTGTTCCTCATAAGGAACAATTTCTTCTTTTTTATTTGTATAATAGATAGTACATTTGATTTAAAACTATTGAAATAAAGGTATTTTCAGATTCAGTTTTTAAAAAAATCATTTTCCACAATTTCCATCGGTCCTTCTTTAGTCTTATCAGATATTTACCTTTTAACAATGAAAAGAATTCAAAGGAACTATCGTGATTATTGCTTTGTTATGTTTCAAATAATTTTCTAAAATGAATTTAGTGAATCGCATTAACTGGGAATATCTATCTCCATGATCTTATATTACCCTAATTGTTTTTTTTTACAAGTTAATACATTATTTGTGATCGTTATCAAAAGTATGAGTGGGTGAGCAGTGTCTCCGCAATTAAGGGGTTCAACCTCCAGGCAATAAATCCAAGGCTCGAACTCCGTTCCACTTTGGTTTAAGGAATCGGGTAGTATCACTAGTCCTCACACTCAGACTATGTGGCCTGACAGCAAGTACACTAATTTATACCTGGTAAATGAGGGAAATTTCAGTGTAAACTGTACTTATGTATGTATCTTTAAATGTTAAAATGTAGTGAGATCCGTAAAGTCTACTTTAATAAATAATTTGAAATAGAAATACATAGATCATCAGCTTGAATACAAATGGTAATAATAATAATAAGAGATTAAAGGTCAAAAATTACTAACTCATTGTTTTTGATCACAATGTAATCATTTAATATAGTTGAATAAAGAACTATAGCTAACGTGAAATAACAATGAGATTTGAATCACTAACAATAAAATGAAAATAGAATAAATGAACTTTGTCATTTTAGATGAGTATAACAATATTATTAAGTAAAAGAATTATCTGGTCATAATCAGTATTGGCAACTTATATACACCGTTTCTATACATACCAAATATATTTGACCTCAATCAGTATGTATTTACTGGTAGATAAGCGAACCATCGTTACTGTGTTCTTTTTTCATAGAAAATACTTAAAGGAGACCTGAAATGCAGTAGTGGGTATTCCTCAATAAATTACCTGTATTCAGTTTGCCAAAAGCAAATGAATGTATGCAGATTGAATTGGTTTAACACGATAACTTATCCTTCATACAGATGTTAACATAAGGTACTTGTAAAAAGACTTTGTAATGAAGTCACGAACATGCAGTAATTAAAATATAATTTTTAGACCGGATACACGAGTAACATCTGAGTGACCTTTGATTTATTCAGTGTAAATCTCACGTCTAAACATATGAAATAACCAATCCCAATAAAAGGTTATTTCAGGTTTGTTTTGTCTAGTTTCAAATGAAATGAATCAGTCAGGCGAATCATCTCTTTCCTTTATTTTCTTTTTTGGTTTGGTTTTAAAAGTATTTAATCATTACAAAAAAGGAATTTCCTTGCTGAAATTTTAAGTTATCTGCTAAATCAAGTTTCAGAAAATGTATGGTCGAATTTGAGATGTTGGATAGAACGTTTACATTCAGTTAGCACTCATCCATAAGCTCGCCTAGATAAATGAAGTAGACAAGCTATACTCTGGAAATAATTACAGAATGCATCCTTATTTAAAGATACGATCAGTTTGATATAGGCAGCAATGTTGTTTGTAAAATATACATATTTAATATTAAATTGGTTTTGAAAATATTGTAATAAATTGTTTTGAAAGTACATTTATTACAAGAATTGTAATAATGTAAAGCAGCTGTTGGGAAGTAGTAATTCTTAGTAGGAGGACTGAGACACATCCTGTTGAAGTATGAATATTGTATCGACGGTCAATTCTAGTTCCCTTACGGAGTAATTTTAATCATCTACAACAAAAAAAGACAAATCAAGGAAAAAATAGCAGAATATTATGATAGATCTGCAGTCATACATATCCCAAGTTATTTTATGAACCACTGAGTTGCATAGGTTTCATGGTAATTGATCAAATTAACCAGGGATTGTGGAAGTGTAAAATATCTGGAAGAAGAGAAGTCTGGTAAGTATGTTCAATAATAATAATGGTCAAGCATTTAATATCCCTATGAATTAATTGCTGGAATTGGATATGGTCACAGGTAATAATTCCCATGGCGATTTCAGAGAAGTGATGGTCATCGATGTAGCGAACGAATGATGCTGTTGATATTACTTCACGGCAGGTTACAAAAATGTATCCGGAGGTCGAACATGTACTTGCAAAGCAATTTGTAGCGTCGGTTGATATGTTAAGCCCATATACTTTATTCTAGCTTCTGGACAAGCCAATTTACCTATCCATCATGATTCAAGTTTTGACCCTGGTAATTATTCACTTATCAACCCTGGCTGTTTTTATATGAGCTTATGTGTGTGTACACTTCTTATCCTATTCATCACATGTCTGTAACTTATTCGTATGTGACCATAAATATTGATTAACGCTTGGTAAAAGCGAGTTGGCTTACCCGCGATCTCCAATGTGTCATTTTCTCTCCGCTCTCTATTATTCGCTTCATCACTTTGATTTCCTGCCCAGATCAATGAATTTTCAAAATATATGTATTCGAAATCCATTCTCGTATTTGACTTATTTAATTCCGTTATTCACTCATGCGAATTAAGTCACGTATTACATACGAGGATAGGCAGGATGTATATTTCGGCAACAATCGTTCATACGATCTAAATCGAGTCAGATCTTGGCCCCTATGAATTCATGTAGAGATTAAGTTTAGACTGAGGTAGTTGCACCAATATCACGTCCTAAGTTACCAGTCAGAATCTCAATCCATTTCGCGTCTACTATCTTCTCTGTAGCCTGGTGTCCCTGAATAGGCACCATTAGCCTTCAACCGACGCAGCGAATTTCCTATTGGTCCGTTATTCTCAAGCTTCTCTTCATCCTCTTACTTGAGTCCAAAAATCAGCAACCAGAGTTTATTATATCTATATTTCAAGCAGACGGTTTATTTACTGTCACATCGGACCGTATCATACAAAAAATGAAAAACAACAATCATACATAAGTAAATTCAACTTAGTATTGTTTGTTTGAATCTTCCCATCGATTTTGTTAGGACTGCAACTGGTCAGTCTCTAATTGGCATATGTGCATACTGTGTGTATTGCCTCGATATAACCTTAATTCACAAGCATGGTAAGCAGAGATGGATAGTGGCCAGCAGTGGAATTCAGGACGCGCGTTTCGTCCTGGATAACGCGATGGCGTTTGAAGCGAAAGGTACTGGGTTCGAGTCCCAGAGTGAACATCAACTCTGAGATGCAGGTACATCCAGCTGACGAGTCCCAAATAGGACGAAACGCGCGTCCTGGATTCCACTGCTAGCCACTATCCATCTTTGCTCCTAAATTTTATATAGTTTTGGCATAGAACTACTTAAATACATTTAAGATTATCTTCCTGCAACTAAAACAAATTTATTGATTCAAATCAAGTGATCATCAATTACAAACTTGGTCATATTTAATGATCAACATGTAAAGTATAACATTAATGAGTTCACTTATTTATTATTATTATTGTCTTTAAATGAGAAAAAAAATAAACAAATAGAATTTCAATCTATCCAATATAAAAAGTATCCAACTTGATTGATTAAAAAGAACTATTGGTCACTCACTTTCATTTTTGATACTTATCGAAATTAACTGATTGACATTTAATTTGTAACTTGTATTTTGTTCATAGATGATGGATAAATCGACTATTCTTGACACATATAGACATACCGGTTTTGATGAAGTAGTATTTTGTAATTTTTTCTTCAGGTTTATGTTTTGAACTTATACAGGTCTCAAGATATGTGAAAGACGATGACGGATTATATTTTGAGAGCAATATCAGATCGAGTACAAAACACTTTCTTGAAAAGATTTCTTACTCATAGTTTCATGAAATCAATTCTTAAACATGAATTTTCGATTACATTTATTTTTCTGTCAATGAATCTCATTATCTGTTTGTTATGATTGGTTAGATTTAAATAGGTATATTGTGAGAGGTCAACTTGGAGTCTCTTTCACTTCTTTTGGTGTCACAATGATAGGAAAGATAAATTTATTTGGGACTGACTAACGGCATTACTCTTCTTATCAATTCGTTTTCTACAGTCACCTTATTCGTATTTACTGAGTTTGTACGTCGTATGCAAACAGCTGTCATTAAAATACTAATCACGATGTAACTAGTGAATTTATTTTAATTTCCCTAGCTAAGTAAAAAATAATGTAAGAATCATTTTGATGGGTTCACTTGAGGTTGGAGTTTTGAAATTTGGCTTACTGTCGATCAATTTCTTACCACTCCTTGAGCTAATATTTAGCTATTACGTATGGAATAATTAATGACACAGCCACTTTTATAAAAAAACAAGCTCCGATTAAAAACTTCAGGACCAACTAGTAACAGTATACCACATATAAACATAAGGCATGTGAAACGAATTTGATTTGACAAAATAACGTAAGATTATTTGGGCGATTCAGTTTGTCAGTGTGTAAGAAAGGAAATTATCGTGTTTGAATAATTTCGAAAAACCGACACTAAAACTGAATTTGACAGCTATTACCCAAACAAAATAAAATGTAAAATCATTGGTCCTTCTCGGTAAGACAAATTGAGGTGTTGAATATATTCACTTGAACTCAACTTCTTAAGGCAACGACAAACGTTTTAACTATTTTCTGGTTTAGTGAACTGGACTTGAATAAATCGTTGTCTCTATCGCACCACTTGTTGAGCGTCGCTCCAAATTCCCAATTTAAGTTAGAACTAGAGACTGGCTTTCAAACGTTTCCGCTTTTTACTGAGATATCATAAGCTGAAAGTTGTAGAAGCTAAAGTGTTACAAGTATCTTGACAAACTTTTATTATCAGTCTCCAAACAGCTTCTGCTGCGAATTCAGCAATAATTTGACTTAATCGAGTAGTAGAAACATTACAAATTTACTCTGTCATCAAGTTGTTTTAAATGGAGACAGAAAGGATAGATGTTTTATTTCTTTTCTAATGTAAACAATGGATTCTTTGTTGTTGTGCAATGTCCTATTGGAAAGCTCTCATTATACCCGTTTCATTGAAAATCATATTAGATCCAAAAAATTACAAAGCTGGGCAAAAATGTCTATCAGACTGGTCAAACTTCCAGTTCAAGTGAATAGTTTAGATGGATTGTACTGAACAAGCCTTTTTTGGTCTAGAATAGTTCTGAGATTGCATAACGTGAATCTAAACACAGAAGATAGACATAGCCCTGTAGCTTTTTCGACTATGGACACTCATCATGTACTTTTGGAGAGTAACAGTAATTGGGATATAAGAAGGAGATGTATGTTTATCGTATT